AACTGTTGAGTTGCATCAAACGGTGGGATTTGAACATCACTTTTATAGCACAGTCACAGCTCTAACATGTGAATCATGATTTTTGTGTGTGTGTGGTGGGGGGGGGGGGGGAACCTCATATCCACAGTCCAGCAAACTTTTCACTGGGCTGTGCTTGGCTCCGTCACCAAACAAGAGATTTACCCTAATCACAAAAGCTTTAGTAAGGCACATATTTCTAGCAATCAAAATGTTCTTACCACCATATGATCCTGTTGATATTTTCGTTACTGCCTGTGCTGAAGCTACTGTTGATGATACAACAACAACTTGAGGACTACCTGATGAACCTGCAGTTTTACCAGAGAAAGTTGCACTACTAGGGGTCAGTACTTTCACTCCTGAAATTTATGTATGGGATCAAAAAATTTTACTCCAACTGCTCATCCTTTCTATGCTATTTCATAACAAACTAATCTCTATATGTATTTCAATAAACTCAACAGAATTGCTATTAAAAACAATTATTCAATGGCTGTTGAAAGTGTAAAGCTACACAATGGACTATCTGTGCTGTGCCCATGACGAGTATCAAAACCTGGTTTTTACTGTTGTAATCTTTCAGACTTACCACTGAGCCACTGGGAGACCATTGAGTAATGATCCAAAACACACACATTCTGAGCAAATATATAAATGTTAGTCAATTTTTATTTTGATAGAAGTTATTCAAAATACTAAGTACTGTATATAAAATACTTTTGGGTAATCAGTGAATTTACTGAAACCAGTTTTACTTTAGCTCTTTAACACATCTTAAGTACCTTAATTTGCAAATTTAGTGTAAACACTAGTTGCTTAGAATACAGGTTTAGTCAAAACACAATTTTTCTGGTTACTTTATACCATTTATACTACAAAATAATTTAAGCATGCCTCATTACCAAGATTTATTTTCTTTCTGACCTTGTACAAAGTATTAATGTGACCTTTCTTAAAATACTTCACGAGTTTCTAATCTACTTAATAAACTCACATATTTATAGATATCTTGTAAAGCTGTTATCCACCTTATAAATGTTCATGGAAATTTCCAATGCACTACTTTATCCCAAACAAAATATCACTCACATTTAGACAAGTATTGTATGCAATAAAAGATTTTTAAGATGTGAAAAGTCTGCAAGTAATTTAAGATGAATGGTTGTATGACAGTGACAAGTTGAAAACTTTAGCAAAACTGCCATGTGTGAGAGAGGCTTTTGAAAACAATACCATGTTTAGGAAAGAAACTTGCAAGTTTCATTTATCTGTTGTTTACTACAAATCAGAAAATAGAATTTCAAAATATTTATAATTGCTAAATTCAGAACATTTTATTAGCTATTTTTTCTATTAATTGTCTACGTGTTTACAACCCTCTTGAGCGTCAAAAGTGCTATATAAACTTAGATATATATCAAACTGATATACCTGAATGTTATAAGGATCTAAATTCACATCTATTTGTAACCAGAGATATATGCAACTAGAAAAATAAGCATATTCAAAGATAGTCTTGTTGCAATATGAATTCTGTTCTATGTGTAATGTATAGTATATACCACGCATAATGTTAGGCTATTTTTGACATCGCCCCACATCACACAGGTTGTATCTCATTAAACTTCTTCAACTCTAAAACTCCTGATTATACCAGTAAATATTTAAAACATTTTCTAGTTTTAATAATAATGTGAAATTCATTTGATTATACAAATTTTTTGGGCATTTTAACTCCACTTATCCAGAATAAGACAAAAAAAAAAGTTGTTTAATGTCCTTTAAAACTCAAATTCAAAACAGATTCAAATTTTAACTTTATCTGAAAAGGTGTTGTAGATACAAAATGCACTGTAGACAAACAATCTGGACAAAATGTTGGCAAGCGTTCAAATGTCGTTTGATATGAAAATGGCACCATAATACCATGTATAATGTATATGAAAAACCTTGATTAGATACTAGCTGATATTATAAAAGATGACATCTCAATGAAGATACTTTACAGACCATGTGAAAATCATTACTGAATAGATTTTTCATGCACAGGATGCTACCAGCAAAAAGCACTATATTTGAGATTCTTTACCTGTATAATAAAACTTCTTTGATTCATTTAACTCTCTATGCAATGAGTCTTGATTAACAAATTATATTTCAAATATATATTGATTTAACATCTCTATTTTGTTTCTTTAAATAATGTCTATTGCAATAAACTTTCTTTAGTTCATCACAGATTAAGGGTGAAAACATGTTTCTACTGAGGAAGGTTAAAAAAAAATCCACCAAGAATGATTCTTCATTTATGAAAAATTATTCTTTAATACATCTTTGTTATAACAATTTTCTGTCTTTTTTTCCATATTAGAAGCCTCATTTTATTAAGGTAAAAAGCAAACTTAAAGCTGATTTTTTGTTTATTTATAAGCAACTTTTGTCATAAAGCATACTTTGTTAGCACTCTGTTGCCAATCATTAGAAATGGACAACAAACCGTGACACTCACAAGCATTTGATCAAGACCCTAAATAAGGTTTCCCCATACATGCATAACATTTTTGAAATTATCCAATAAAAATAATTTATTCTGATAACTGCAATTTAGCCAATGACAGTTTTGATTCTAGTAAATAGGCCTGGAAAGTAGCATCAAGGTGAAAAAAATGGTCTGAGAATATTTTGGAGATAATGTATTAATAGAAGTTTTGTATTTTATATACAATCTGCTGAATAAATACAAGTTCCAAATCTGGTTTAAGTATTTCTGCATTTAGGCATTTCTTTATCTCAAACATTAATACACCTTCAATGTAACTAAAATATGAGCTTAAAGCACAAATCAGTTTGGTATTAAGTAAAAAATTAGTTATAAAAAATTTACACACACCTCTGTCATGTTTATATTGAATCTGTGCTCTTCCAACACCAGCTGGCAGCCTAACAGGTACTCCATGAACAACCTGTACACCTTGATAACTCTGTCCAGATGCAGATAGAAAGGATGTTCCTGATGACTGACTTGCTGTGGAGGTAGGATTGTAAGGACTAGGGCTTTGAAGGCCACGTGGCACCATTACCATTGACCTTGGCCTCACCTGCTGCTTTGGTATGGACTGTATGGTAGTTCTTGGTCGGGATCTTACCCAACCTGTGTTAACTGAAGAACTGCTGCTCAAAACACTGCCTGTACTTAGGACATGAAAATTCTGAGTTCCAACAGAGCCTCCTGTTAAAAAAAAATATTACTTCTTAGCTTCCACATTGTTTTTATTTCTTTTTTTCATAAATAACTTATTACAATGTAAACACGCGTAGAAAGAATTTAAAAATTTGATTATACAATTTTATAATAGGTGTAAATGCAAAACTAAGAAGTGCATAAAGTACATGTTACCTGTTAGTTTGAAAGAACTGTTCTCTTTGCCTAGATTAAAAATATCCTTACAAGTAAAATGTAGGATGAAACACAAAATAACAAGATCAAAATTAAAGTATTTCAACCAGCTTATAGACTGTACAACCACCTAGCTCTCCTCTCCTGTGGTCTGTATTTAGTTCTAGAAAGTTCATTATATTACATCCTTCTTAGTCTTGGTGTTACATTGTTTATAAAATGTTTATTTCTCTTGAATTTTTCACTTTATAGCATACATTCTTCTTGGAAGTGTTATTTCAGCCTTTTTGTGACAGAAATATTTAATTTTGGTCATACAAGAGTATGTGGATTATTTTACTGACTGATCAAAAACCTTTCGTCTGTAATACAATATTCAAAGTATGCCTGTAGGTCTACTAACTCTTCCTAAGCTATGATGCCTCTCACTGCCAAACATTTCACTTATGTACACATCTTTTGGTTTTATAGAACAGAAAAAAAAAATTTACACACAGGAATTAAAATGGAAAAAAAACACTTTATATAGAAATCAATATATAATACTGTTAAAACATACATTTGTGAGTCTTGACAAAATATTATCAATGTTGAAGTATTTTGCATGTATGTGTGTGCATTCTGAACAAACAAGACTGTTATATAGTCCTTTAAACATGTTATTAATGAAGTGTTTGTGATAATGTAAAGATCAGTAACCACCAGCTACTCATAAATAACTAACTAATTATTACACACAATGAAAACAAAACATTTCTACAGAATATGCTTAACATTTTTAATAATAATAATTATTTTTAGTCCGAACTTTAAAAAAATATCAGTATTCTAGAAAGTCTGTAATGTAAATTATAAATATTATTTTACACTAAGCAGATTTTGATCTTGAATAAGTTATTACTGTATTATTTGTGCATACCAGCTTTTAAATAAAATAATTCTACAGTATTCAAATTGGCATTCTTTTAAATGAAAATTAAAACTACTGTCAAAAGTAGGTATATATATATACCTGTTGTACTAATAATGCCAGAAGACGAACATCCCACTAAGGTGGTTGTACATGGAAGGTTTTGGTTTGTTCCTCCACTAGACACACTTACAGGGGCTCCCACAGATATCTTGGTCTTGTTCAATGATCCAGTCGTGCCACTGGGAGCAACCGTCTTGACAACAGGGACAGTAAGTGGACGATGCAAGGTTCCTGGCTCCACAGTAGTTCCAGAAGATGATACTAGGATTACCTAATCAATACAAAGACATGTTTCACTACATCTCGGGATACACATGGGTTCATTTACAAAGAGTAATTATTTTTCCCATTTGAACAAAACTTTTAAGGTATATTTAACTCTATGAGACTTATTGTATGGTCTGTTTTATTGCACTGTGAAAAACTAATAGACAAAATTATTTGGAACATTAGAATTACATTTTACAGATTATGTAGCTTCTGCAAAAAGAATATCTTATTTTATATGCAATATCTGTAGGAATTCTCAGATTTGATATTCTGAGAAGACTTCATTGTGATACGTTTTATTAGGAAACAATTAAAAATGCCTACCTTTGTTTTAGATTTTAATTAGTGATTTTTATGTCTTTCTGCATTCTTTTCTAACTTTCATATAAAGTTTTCTTATTAAAACTGTAAATTTTATCTTTTGTTTTGAATTGGAAAACAATACATGTAGTTCCATTGTGTACAATAAAAACATTTTCATCATACCCAAATTGTTAACAAACTGACTTTTTTTAAATTGTTAATCAGAAGGTTCCATTTAATAAAGGTAACAAGTTTTAGATCTGCTTTATATTCATTTATATATATATATATTTTTTTTTTCAGGGAGTTTCTTGCTTAAAGTTACTTAGGCTGATATGGCCTAATGCAAACAAAGCCTAACACAGGCTTTGATCTTGAATAAGTTATTACTGTGTTAATATTTGTGCATACCAGCTTCTAAGTAAAATAATTAATTCTTGAGAATTCAAGTTGGCATTCTTTTAAATGAAAAAAAAAAAAATACTGTCAAAAGTATTAAATTGTAAATTCAATTGCACAAATTTTTTCCACTGACCCCCCACCCATCAAAACTAATGATGAATTTTTTCACTAAAAATTGCTAAAACTACACTTTTATTCAAGTAATAAGTCCAATTTAGTGCTATTTTGTTCAAAACTGCTATATCTTTGATCCTATGGGACTATGAGCACCATATTATACTCGGAAAAAAGTAAAAAATTCACAACTACTAATGATTTCTTTGGAAGTGTGCTGAAATCAAACCAAGATCAAAATTTGATACGTGTTTTTTTATCTTTATGTATAAAAATTGAATAAATCAAACTTTTTCATAGAGTAAATTTAAACTCTGATGCATTTTCTTTTTCTTGAGGTGTTTATTTTCTATAATGTTATAAATTCAACTGTGCAAATTTTTTTTCCACTAAATCTAAAGAATAAATAAAATCTTACTTTTGGACTTGGGGCTGTACTGACTGTATTTGTAGTTTTGTGTATGTTCGAACTAAACGTGACCTTCAGACCCATTGGTAAGCTAACTGAACGGCTTACTGCTTGAGTAGTGATGTTAGTGTTTGAGGTCAAAGTTGGTTCTCCTATAGGATTAATACCCAGTGATGGACCAGATGAAGCAGAAGCTACTGGTGATGGTAAATGAATTTTTTGTGGGCCTGCTGCTGAATCTAACGATGAAGACCTCTTTCTTTTACGAATATTTACTTCTTCCTCATTTCCTTCACCTACCGTGTCAAAGAAAGAAAAGTTAGACTTCTCATTTGATTTTTTTTAAGAACAATTTTTTTCTCAAATGTCACCAAAGGGCAGAAAAAATATTATCACTTGTGACAAGTTTATATACAAAATTATTCAAATATACTTCTCAATATTATAACTTAACTCCCTAACTAAGTTATGTAACTGAAAAGAAGTTAATAAAAACAACAACTTATAACACCTCAAAATGAATTAAAATGTAATTTTCTTTTCAGATACATAATAGAATAAAACAAAGCATTTGTTCTCAGACATATTTCAGAGAGAATTTGAATGTTCTAATTTACATCTCTAATTTGTATCTAGGCATTAACATAATTAGCTTTATTTTTTACTCATTTTTCAATATTAGGCAATAATTTACTTATGCAAGTTTAAGAATCTACATTCCAATATCTAATATGTTCCTTATTGTATTTATATTTCATTCAACCTGAATTTCTAATTAAATGTTTAAATACTCATCTATACACAGTTTCATATTTCTATATTAACTTCAAATAGCGTCTTCTACACTTTTTTTCATCATATAATCTAACAAATCTCACCTTTTACATGAATAGGCATGCCACTTGGAAAGACCATAACATTATTATTGGTACTGGCAGGACTAGAACTTTTCTGACCTGACTGCACTGATCGAACTACGTGGGTTGGAGTAGAAGGTGTGCTTAGGGGGCTGGACATCCCAGAGGTTGGAGGAGCTGAATTAAGCAATTTTAAAGTTAAAATGAATCCTTTGAAACTAGTTTTAACTAACCTAAAAGGATCCCTATTTTTACATTTTAGTTACTTTTATGATTAGTCAAAGAATAAACATGAAAAACAAGAAAAAAATACTTACCCAATCTTCTTTTATTTTGCTGTCAGTTGTTGAAGAGAGTTAATCCAAATTTTTTATACTAATGATAGTAATGCACTTAATAATTTTAATTTAATTAAATAATGCACCAAAGAATATAGACTAGTAACATGCAAAAAGTAGACATATTCTCTTACCTCTCAAAATTTTTCAGGCTTTCTAACTATGTTACAAGAATCGTTACATGTTCATCCAAGCTAGTCATTAACTTTCTCACGGAAACGATGTTGGTACTCTGAGTGAAATTGACATATAACTGTTTAGACCATAACATTAGCAATATGCCATTTGATAGATGATAGAAAAATTTGGATTAACTCTCTTCAACAACTGACAGCAAAAAAAAAGAAGATTGGGTAAGTATTTTTTTATTGTTTTTCATGTTTATTTTTTGACTAATCATAAAAGTAACTAAAATGTAAGTGTCCTAAGACAAGTTTAAGTGACTAAAATAACATCTGTCATTAATATTAATAAGAACAAATCTGTTGCAACAACTGAACTAGCAATTCAAAACACTGTCCATAACTTCCTAGACAGATGCAGTCCATTAACACACCTTTCAAGTAGAATTTACCTTCCAACCCAATCTGGTAAACTATAAATTTTAGTATAAGTGAGGCATTAGCTTGGCTACTCAGACTCTGCATGGGTCTTCCTCGAGTTTATTCAAAATAAAAAATTATATACTTCCACTTTTAATTTTAAATTAAATAGAGTGTTATGTCAAGCTGGAAATATTTTACTACTCTTTTGTTAAAAAATTAAAATAAAATGAGGTTAAAAGTGAGAGTAGAATCAAAATCATCAGTAGATAGTTAAATATAAAATTTTTTATCAATTTTAGTATAATTTCAATTACTGTTGGTAAATAAAATAATTTACATTTTACTTTGATTTCTTGATGCAACAGCACTTACAAGAAGTTTCTTTCTTTCCTGTGGCACTAGGTGGCATCAATGCTGCATTTTTTGCAGCTTGGATATTGGCTGCATTATTGGCTATTGCTGTAAAAGCTGTTTGTGGAACCAATCGAGGAAGAAGGGGAATGAGCCTTCTTCCCTCAATGGCCCATTCTGCTGCTGTGTTAGGTCCAGCCATTCTAAAAACATAAGCATCAAAATAATTAATATTTTTAAATAAAGCAGTTTCACTATTCTCAATTTACACATAAAATTTTACCATGTTAAAATTAATTAAAAAATTTTTTAA